CACCCTGGACAGCATCAACGCCCCCTATTAGTTTCGAGGTACCTACCGCCCTAGCACTCTACAGCGCCTACTGAGGGCGGTAGGGCCCACTTTGGGAAACTATGGCCTAAACCCTCGCCTGAGAGAGACCCATGCCCGGCAATGGGACTTATAAATGGGTTGATATCATAGATTTAGTAAATCTATGGTTGATATTGATTTGTATGCACCCTTATGAATTACTTTTTACAAATACCATGATTGTTGTTGGTTACTGTATCTCTACGTACACAGTAACCGACTACTTAATTTTAGAATAGAGTCTGGTGATTGACCGTCGCGGCGGCGTGGCATAACTACTCTTAGGCTGATTACACATGGCGCCACGGGACCGCAGCATCAGTGGCGCGGTTGCAGCTCATGCGGCGTGATTAACTAAGATTGTACATTAGCAGACAATTGCGGCAGCGCTCACCGCCGCCGCGGCGCGCGTATGAAATTGTGTAAACAATTGCAAGAACGAATACAGCTGCGGCGGCGCGGTGCCGTTGCTTTTACGGCGCCGCACAGTGGACCCAAATTGATAATTCTTGGACATAGGAATAACTTGTGGAGTATCGAGCTAATTTTTTTTATATGATAAATAATAACATTCCTAACAACTTTTATTCTTGTATAATATCTTGAAAAGTCGATAGTTTCGGAGAAAAAAAAATATTTTTTTGAAATATACATTTTATTTTTTATCTCAAAATATACGAAAATGTAATGTGCGTGGATTACTTACAGTATAGTTCCAATCATTTTCTATGTAGAAAAAATAATCCGTCTGCATGTACTTGCGGCTTTGTAAGTAAAGGTGGCAAGTAAGTAAACTAAAGGCAAAATTGCCAACTATATATTAGGTATGTACTTTTTTAACAAAATACTTGAGCTTCGACTAAAGAAAAATTAATTTTAGTATAATTTAGAGAGTGTTATAACAATAACACGAAAGTTAAGTAGAAACTAGTATATTGAGTTCAAAAATAAATAACACATCTAAAATTTTGACACCTTTTTACTCGTAAACTCGTGGTGTTTAGCGAAAATGGTGGTTTAAGAATGTAATATCTTGAGAATATCTTGCGAATATGATATTTTGTGAACATGTCTTGAGAACATGATATAATGAATTTACTTTATTGCCAACTTTTATCGAAATCGATACAGAAATTTAGTTCAACTATAATAGCTGCACTCTGTCTATAGGTGGAAACCGTATGAAAACCGTTTAGTAGTTTTCGAGTTTATCGCAATCAGACATACAGACGCAGTAGTGATAATATGTAGTGGTTTCAGACAACTTACACAAAAGCTAAAGAACCTTCCTCATGAATCACTCTGTCTGTTGGTGGACATCGCATGAAAGTCCGTTCAGTAGTTTTTGACTTTATCGCGATGAGACAGACAGGCAGGCAAACGCGGTAGTGATAATATGTAGTGATTATACATTACATTATAGATATGTAACATATCTATATTTTATACATAAAATGTACGAAAGTTATTTAGGTAGATTGTTATACGATGCGGTGCAGTGGATTGAGTCCACCAGGATCCCCTAGCCCAAGCCCCCAGGGGATCTTTGTGAACTCAGCAGTACATTAGAATCCCCTATGTATGTAAAGTTGCAATCACATTGCGACAATAAATAAATTACTTATTGTACCGATTGGGTGTTCAGTGACAGACATCGTACAGTGCGGCCCGCCATTATGTGCGTACACCTTTACAATATTTAGGTACGAGTTATTTCATGTTATTGTCACGATTGGCCACCCTAGGCTCGGGCCTACTGAGCCTTAGGCCAGGTTGTTATTTCACGACCACACTTTAATATAGTAATGCTGACATTACTGCTTGACGGCAGAAATACTGCTACTTTAGCAGTACTACTCTGGACGAACTCTTTCACATGGAGCTCTACTGCTATTAGTAGCAGCTTAGGGTTAGCTTAGCTTAGGGTTAATTCATAAACCCGGCTTTACAGGGACAAACCAAGAATTTAAAAAAAAAGGTCCAAATTGTTTCTAAACAAACTTTATTCATCTTAAACATCTCTAGCATAATCAAACAAAAATCTGCCCACTACAGTTACTTCACAAGTAACGTATAACAACATAAAACTTAAAAGTAAGTATAATTAAGGGGTATTTTTACTTGAAAATCTCATTAGTATAGTCCATTATTATAAATCACCTGTCTGTTGTACAAAATGTAAACTCAAATTTGTAGAAATAAAACATAATAAAACGTTATGTTTTCACACTGTTCCCCAAACAGTACATGTAAAATAGAGAATTTCTCTGCAGACATAGTCCTGGAATTAATGTGTGTCCCGGAACACCAAAAATCCCTAAGTAAACAACAACTCTGAAGGGGATAATAGGAACAAACTGACTTTAGATTGATGGCAGTGATACCACGGTAAGAAGATACATATAAGTTCAAATTGGTCCCCAAGGGTACCTAACAACTAGGCCAGCTAGCTTTTACTAGTCAAAAACTACATAGAATGATTGTAAGTATACATGAAACGTCTCATTGCGCTTTCTTATACATAATGTAGACAACCAATTAAACTAATGCCACTGCGCAAAACAAGAAACGCAGTGACATTATAGTTGTATTATACATACTTAAATCGCGTAGTTGTGTTACCATAATAATTATGTTTATATAGTACTATGTTCTTAATTCGAAGTCATTGAGTTTTGCATAAACAAGCAAATGTTAATTATTATCGAGTAGGCGTTTAATTCTACTGGATTTACTAATCGTCATTGAAAACCGTAATCTCATTTCTTAACAGATAAGAGCGACTTTTAGCAGTGACGGCGACTTATAGCAGCGATGCAAACGCGCGTTTGTAAATTGTGCGATTGCATCGCTACACTTGCGATAGCAACCGCGCGACTGCATCGATAGAAACGCGCGATTGCATAGCTGCTTAAATTTTCCATATTAAAGATTTGGTACTTGGTGCAACGGGCTGGTATCCGCAAATAAAGATTTATTATTATTATTAAATTTGCGCGTGTGTGTCGCAATTGCATCACGTTTGCATCGCTGCTATAAGTCGCCGTGTGTAAACGCTCTAAGAAATACTTTTGATTGAGTAAACAAATATATAATAATTTATTTAACGAACACCATTTCATAACGATACCAGAAGTATTAATTAATCTATGGGACAAACCGGGTTTTCAGGAGAGTCAAAAAAACGATTTTATTTTTTTTATTTGTATCCTTTACAATAGAAATACGTATATAATTTTCTATTTCTCTTCCTGCTTACACTGTGCTCGATGGTTTACACATAAAATATTAGTAACGTAAGGCACAAGTAAACATCTTTTTTTAATGTTTTTTAATGTAAGGAACATGCCACGTATTAAACCACTGGGCATTCCTAAATTTTAATAATACCAATCGATAGAGCGGGAACTTCAAAATCCAATGATATTACATTTTCGACATTTTCATTTCCGACAAAATGTCTCTTACGTTAATTGATACTTCTGGTATCAATAAATTGAACAGAATATTAAAATCATGTAAAAAGTTGCGGTATTTTTTTAATTTCAGTTCGAATGAAATCGATTAACAACGCAATCGTCAACGCCTTTAAAACTAATAACTCCGAAGAAAATAATACTACGCAGGGTCAAGAGAGATAGATAGACAGATTGACACGATTGACACTGTCGCAAAGATTTAAGGGGAATTGCCATTGCCCCCGTCACCTCGAGACATAAGTTAATAAGTCCCATGTGCCTGTAATTTCACCAACTTTATGATCACCAGGAAACAAATTACATATATTTAGCGTAATTTATAAAGATAATTCGGTTTTTTTTCAAATGCGGTAGCACTCCCTGGACAGCATCAACGCCCTGGGCCCACTGAGGTGGCGCCCACTGGGGGTAGAAACCACTTTGGGAAACTATGCTCTAGAATGTATGTGTGCACCAATTTCAAAGATAAAAAGAAGCTAAAGTTCATCAGAATTGTAATTGTAGTGCAACAGAAATGGTTGGTGGAAATAACTAAGCCAAATAGTAAATGCTTATATTGTGTTTCGATTTTGGCTCCCACAGAACTTTACTTATCGTACATAGATTTAAAATTAGTAAGGTATAAAATATGTAACATATGTACAAGTTGTGATCCTTTTTGTAACAGCAATGTATTAGTTGTTTGGTACCTTACCTAATACTATTACTTTTCTACATTAAAGTTTAAGGGCGATCTTGATTCATGTTTTTGGGTTCTCCTGTAAAATTTTGTCTAAAGCACTTACTAGGTTTTGTTACAGAGCAGCCGACTTACTAACGGACAACTCGATACCGAACCGATATTGGTATAGCCAATAAGCAAAATAAGATTTTTTTACAATGAGTAAGTTAAAACAACTCTTATGACAACATAAGTGATCTCTGGTTAGAAATGACGGGCTGAAATTACGGGCGTGATATTCGGGTGAATGTTCGTGTTGTTACTAGAAGATATTTGAAATTCCGCGCGCTGAGAGTCCCTAAACTAACTAGACAGCCTTATTTTTTTTAAATAAAAAGGCAACAAAAATAACCGATCATGATCATTAACATTATTTTAAAACTAAACCTAGTACTATGTTATACGTTATTTCGAAAACTAAAGTTACATGTTCCCTATGCAAAAACTAAACCTACATTACGAACTAAACATGTCGGTGGTAGACTTGACAAGATAGTGGGATTTGGAGATCAAAGTTTTCTATTGCTATTTTTAAAGCATCTTATCAAGTTGAGATTACTAAATGAAGAAAGAGGTCAGATTATTTGTAAATTAAAATGCACGAGGATCTTAATGGATACGAAATGTTTAACTGGTTGTTCAAACCGTTAAATTGACAATGGTTTGCTAAGGATAGAAAACGTTTTGTAACTGCAGTTTAAACTCATAATATTTCATATTATAAAACAGCGTAAACAAGTATCGTAAACAAGAGGTGCGCAGTAGACCATGTCATGTATACATATATATGTGACTACATATGCTACCAACACTTCTAAGGCGAGTCTCTCGGCGTTATAGTATGGAATTAAATAACCATTTTTTCTCAAAAAGATGGTTATTCAAACCTACAATAATAAAGTGAGGAAATTAGAAATCAGTTTTTGAAACATACGAAATAAATTGAAATGTTCAAATTAAAAAATATTGTTGCTCACATCAAATACAACACTGTCATGTTATTCATACTTAATTCTTTTTATGTTTTGTTAGTTTCCCAAAAAGTAACTTTTCTGATTCAGAGACTTTCTTATTGTGAGTGCGATATGTGCGCATCGCCAACAGGTCTACTATGTACCAATAAGAGGTCAGATGAAAAATCCATGTATATCGAAACTACCCTGATGATTCTAAGAATGTAAGAAGTTTGTGACCTGTCAAAATCTCAATTTTGCATTCATTTGTCATGAAATCCTGACACACCTTATTGTTTATTCTTGCAAATCGGAAGACGCACTCTAATAACTATTTCTAATATAATTTCATAATACACAAAGAGGTACAGTTTGTCACAATGTAAACATATTATAATAAACATACATAAAAATAGGTATACCCCATATAACATAGAAAAATACAAATTTTCATATCACATAGCTATCAAAATGTTTACATGTATTGCTTGGATTGATAATTTTATTCAAATGTCACAACTTTATCATCATAGATAAAAACATTAATTTGTAAATAAAATTACCAACCACTATGTAAAATTACTAAATATGTTTTAGTTCTTTAGCAGCTTCCTCAAATGCTGCTAAAAGATTTCTTCTACACTTACTATCATCAGTGTACCGTAATTCCCAAATAATATACTCACCAACATTCAACGGATCTTCGGAATAACTGATCTGTACTTTGCACTTTCTGTCCCACTTCATTGCATCAATACTTCGATTGTTTCTCGATCTACAAAATTCTATATAACCACTGCATTCTACTGCGAGTTTTGGTAATTGTGCATTTAAAGCATCATGAGATTTGTTGGAATCTGTACCACTTGTTGATGGTATGCAGTCCCCTTGTCCAACTTCACGATTTGGTGGAGTAACTGCCACACATTTGCGTTTTAAACGTCTCCCTAACATACAGTCTCCTTTGTTATTAATCTCAGACAAGTCCTCACTTGAGTAATCTTCTTTTGGAATGTCTTTCTGTTCATTGATTTCTGTTCCCTTATTTATTTTTACTTTCTTTATATCTGGTTCATAGTCTTTGTCCACTGCACATCCTTCTGCCCATTCTGGACTACTACAGTTCGATCTAAGACGTCTTTTCACAGATCGTTCTTTAGATTTTATTATTTCAGGAGAATTGAATGGACTTGCCAGTATTAAGTTGTCTTTTCTGCAATAATTTAGTCAAATTATTTTTAAGTTTTTTATTACTTTGTTAAGGTAATCTTATCAGAAATAGTTAGGACTTAGCTAGTACAAATCTTTGTAAATAATAACAAGGGATAGGGAAGACGAAGGAAGGGGTTTTGTAAGATAAAAAAAAGCAGCTATATTATGCCATTGTAAGTATATTACAGAAGAAAAGAAACCCAAAGGATAAGTATTGTAACAAGATCTAACAATATTTATAAGGTGACAAATTACATACACCATGCTGAAAGGCTGTAAATGTTATGGAATTTCAGACCGACATGATCTTTTGAATCAGTTTTATATATGTTGGAGAGTTTTCGAATTCTGCATATTTCACAACATGACAGCCTTTGAATAATTCTAAGGAACGTGTTATCACTTGTGCAGGAAGAAAAAATTAAGCAAGAGAAATGCGACTACTTGTTTTGATTTAAATTGATTATAATACCAACCTCTGTATCTTTTCTAGCCGTGTTACTATTTTGTCTATACACTCTACACGCATAAAATCATGTTTAGAACATTGCATATCATACTTCAAAAATGCAGATATCTTTTTTTGACTTTTTATTGTGCGGCCAAACCATTCTAAAACGGCATCATCAGACATGTACAAAGCAAAACTTTGTCTTTCATTGTCAATCATCTGTTTGTACCATTGTACAAAAGTTCGTGCTTGTTGAAGTTCTGAGTATTTATTGCTTGTATTATTGTTGTCTTCGTGTTGCGATTTAATAAGATGTTTAGTGTTGCATTTGCTTGGTGTTGTTGGTAGACTGGACATTCTCATTGATTCTGTAAATGAATGAATTTATGGAAGCACCTTGAGACTATTGTAGAATACACTGTTAGATAAGATCATCATTTTGTAACTACTGTATTGTATTCATTTGATAATATTGCATTTGATTAGAAGGAAGCCAGAGAGGGCAAGTTCCCAGCGATTTTCCTTCACTTATTGGCAGGGATTGTACACTAGCAATTACTTGCACAAGTTACAGATTTTTGGCAGTTGTGGTCTGACATCTGTACAGAACTCAAAGGTGTCTACGAGAATCTGTAGCTGGTGAAATGTATTAATAAATAAAGTCTTTGGGAATATAACACAACGCCCACGTGACCTTCAGTGAATCGTTAATCGGTTATTTGTATTGTAAATCCATCTGATATGAATTTCTTAGGGTTTGACTTACATTTCTCAGAGAGAATATCAACGACTTTCTGCGAACTTTTCGCCGCGTGCGCCAAGCCCAATCGAATAACTTCCAGACGTTTCTTGCTCTCCTCAACGTAAGCAGTTATCGACAGATTGATTTCCAAAAGCTCCTTGTGCGCAGCTGTGATATTTTGTGTCTTCCCCGAAAAGTTTTCTGGAAATATCCAAAAAATTTAGCCAAAATTCGCGTAAACAAAACAAATGAAATGACATTTCTATTTTCAAATCATAACCTACCGATACACTTTGCTGCCTCAAATGCTATGTGTTCACGAGATAAATCGTCAGATGTTGTCGAATTCATCTTACATCCGCCTTTTAAGAATTAAACATCAGCGATTAATTCACACTTTACACCAGAATCACACAATTTCATTTACAAAAACTGAAACGAAAAGTAGCGTCGTTACGTATATCAACTTCCTTGTTGAATGATAACCAGAGACAAAACAAATGAATGATTAGTTTTTTTCTTTTCTCTATAAAAGTATTGTAAGGTGTGAAAATTGTTCCGTTTGATGAAACCTTTACGCATTAGTTTATGGTTTGCAGTTAAAGAGTTGCCAGAGTATCCCAATAGATTTGTATGTGTAGAAAAACAATGTTGACAAAGGTAAATTCGGGCTTAGACCAATGAGTTAATCTAAAACGTTTAAAAATAGCCCAATCATTGACCTACCAACAAATGGACGTCGGGTCTAACACAAAAACCATGAAAAAAATGTCCGAAGTTAACTTATACAAGCGTGACATGTAACGATAGATAAAAAACTAAAACCTTTAATTTAAATTGTAACGTCATTGCAGTATTGCCTAATTTTGCTTGTAACAATTTACGTGCCCAAAAACACCATATTCAGCTTCTACGGAAAACTTAACAAAATGTACCATATTTAGCTTCGACTGAAAATGAACACAAGAGTAATGGGGCTGCCTTTATTGTAAATATTAATTCATTTTTATGTATATTATTATGTTGAATTCTGTACAAATTCACTTAAAAAATAATAAAGAGTTAGGGAGATAATTACTAACAAATTTTGCAAATGTGAAAATAAGCGTGTACTATAAGAAATGTGCCGATGTTATAACTTAACGTAAACTCAAATATCCGTAATTCGGAAAATCCACGGTAGAAAGAAAAGAATGGAAATGACATCAAGCAACATTTGAATCAAAACCGGTGTCGCCACACGAACACATTTGAAAACGTACACAAACATTAGTACTAAAATAATATAATTTTGATTGGTTATAAATTATCAAACGAAAATAGACAATAATAAAAAACTTTTGTTAAAATAAATTGAAACTTATTTGGATTTAATAAGGTTTTATTATTTACTAGTCACATAAAAACTAGGAATCCTATGAACATAAACTTCTTGTAACAAAAGCAAAAAGTTGACAATCTACAGATAAGGATGTGGCATTTAATTGATATCGACATTATGTTTCATAACTAGCGGAATATTGAACTAGGCATTGCTTTATACTTGCTATAATTAGGATGAACCACGGAGTATATGGAAACGGCATTTAAAGCAATTACTTCGAGAACTAGCGTAGCTAACTTTTACACGCACACATTTGTTACCAAATACGCATGAGGTTTTACTACACGTAAATACGCATGAGGTTTTACTACACGCAAATACTAATTGATATTAGCTACGCAGGCGTGTGCGTATACGTAGCTACATGCTACAGTCACATTACTAATGATTTATTATTCTGTCGTCATACTTTCATCAAACTACTAAATTTCAAGTCAATCCGATCACTGGAAGGGTTGAAATATTAAAACACAGTCATCATAAAAATCTTTATTCTCCCTGAAATATGCTATATTTGTTCAACAATTACCTCTTTCTGAACTAACCGAACATGACTACACATATAGCGTCGACAAGCTTGTCAAAAAAATGAAAATACTTATTTCTGAAGGCGAAGAAGCGAATCATTTGTTTCATGAAAACTTGACGAAAAATAACTGACAATGCTTCAGAAATGTTTTCACATTATAATATAATTTGCGAAGGCGACTGAGTTTCATGTCATATATTACCTGATTAACCAAATGATTTATTTCTTAATGAATTTTTCGGTTGTTATTCATATGTATGAAATTTAATGTGATGTTATAAAATGCCTATAGCAAATGGTGCTACATTTAGTAGGTACCCAGCTTTCACTGCCTGTTGCTTCATCCCATTTCTCATTTAAAAAGGATCCGGCAGGAAACGAAAAAAAATCAATACAAAAACCGCAAATGTAAATCATGCCTGTGATAAAATTAAGAACTCAAGCGGATGAAGGTGACGTATAATAAGCAAGTAGAGAGATAGGAATCATGTAGATAAGGAAAAGCAAATCTCAAATCTCATAAAGTCTTCATTTTGATACTCCACGAGCTTACGTGCATTGTAAAATTAAATACACTGTACCTCTTCTATCTATATTTCCTTTTTTTTCATTAATATATCGTTTTTACTTAAATTGAAAATTTAAAAAAACTATTGCGAGTGTTGAGACCAAACATTTAAGTAATCTAAATCGTTAGCTTTTAAATACCTGTAAACAATTTATGTTTACGCATTGGTACCTACCGCTATAATAAAAAAAATGTTGAACTAAACCAACACCGGGTTTCTAAATACAGAGTTTCTACAAATCAATATTTTGATTACAACACGCGGACCCAGTACCAAGTAATACGACACTAGTGCAAGCAATTCATTGAGCGTCATTCGAATTGTTCTTTTAATGGCGGCAATGGCTAGCAACCAATGTATACTGTTATTACCGGGTTGCAAGAAAATAGTTTTCTTTTGAAATTATAGCATTGTATTGTTCAAAATATAAGAAAATACAGAGTTTTAGTACTTATCGATGAAATCAAATTACTCCCGGAGTATTTTTTAAGCTTTGGCTTCTTACGCGACATGATATAATGGCACAATTCGGCAAACTATTTGTATTTTTTCCACGAAATAATTATCTATCACATTTGATCGACTGACGCGCTGTTGACACTCATATCACCGTCTGGTCTTAAGCTAGGTAACGCGAACCCCGCCCACCAACCAGTCTATTACTAGTATTTATGTGGTCCGTGGGAAAAGCGATTTGTAATAAAACCGTTACGCTTTCAAATAATTTTGATGCGTTTTACAAATATTCTTAAAAAAAATATGTTTGACATTATGAAAATTCGAGCGTTATTTCGGGCAAATGTATTTTTTGACTTCTACTTAGTAATTCCAAGCCATAAAACGAGTACAACAATATTTTATTAATTATTGCTAACGTTTGATAAAAAAACGTTTTAAAAATAAGATTAAAACCAAAGCGACTCTATAGTTTCTTTATTCTAAATATTTCAATCCCTTGTAGTTCGAACAATTATTGAAAATGACCAAGAAGTTTATATAAGCTTGTTGAAATTGATGTAATGGGCCTCCTTCCAACCTTTGCGCATGCAATGTGTAGAAATAGGACAGTTAGCTATTTGATTACTTTGTTTGCTTTTGTAATTTATATTCACGATTCTTTATATATAAATTAAATACAACTGCACAAAATAACACTTTTAAATGATAACTATAATAACACATTAAATTGGTTTTATGAAAATATGATACAAAATCTTGTTTTTACACTTTGCTGCGGTAATGTGTACAAGTTATTATTATATAGTACTGCATGACTGACAACCGCGCTGTCAGTCGAACAAACGAAGATGCTCTGTATGCGATTTTAACGCCCTATAGGTGTGGACACTTTTTGTCCATTTGTTAGTATTCTAGATCAATGAGCCCAATCATAAGATATTCTTAATGTTCGGACAGTAGTGGAAACTTACAATAGATATAGTCAGTCAAAAGAATTTCAGATCCGTAAATTTAAGTAACTCATAATGTATTCGGATTCAAAATTCAATTTCTATAAGTGTAATGGTCAATCGTTTCAGTTTATTTATATATTGATAAAAAAAAATTAAATGGATGAATGCTTAAGCACAAACTTATTTGACGTGGTCGACGATGTTACTCGATTATAACAATAATAATAACGCACACACTCAACATAGCCCCGCACTAGGGAAACCCTGTGTCGCGGGTGCCATGGACACACACATAGACAACCACAAATTACACCTAAACTCACGAGAGAAATAAATGTAGGCCATACAAATGTTTCTCCCGGCCTCGGAATCGGACCTGAGACCTCTGCGTGGCAGCCCGGCATGGTAACCGTTCGGCCACAGAGGCAGTTTTTCTATTGATTGGAGATTGTCTAGTAAACGTTTAAACTGAAAGGAAAGAAAAAGACTAGATTTAGTTTATAAGCTATTAAGACTTTTAATTTAATTTAAATTATAAACCGGCGTAGCTTAAAATTAATATACCCATAATTTCATATTGTATTCAGAAAACTGTATATTTATGAACCTCAGTAGCATCCAAATGTTCTGCTTCCATGGCACCCGCGATACCGGGTTTCCCTAGTGCGGGATTATGTTGTGTGTGCTAGGCAAAGCTGAAGCACGAAGGTCAATAAACAAAAGTCTGGCGAATATACCTCTTAGAGGATGAAAAAAAATAGTCTAAGATAAAATATACTTCAACTTACAATTTTGTTATTTTATGTAATGTGATGGGGTAACCCGAAGGAACCATAGACAAGTTTTAATTAAGCGAATGAGCATTGGAGAGTGGGCGACCGCGCTTCTTTGGGAGTGGTAATGCGCCGAACCAATCTTCTGCGTTCTTGTGATCATTGAGTTCGGCCATTGGTCTATCTTTTGTCAACCAATCATCGAAATACCAGTAAGGACCCAATGTAAGTTCATAGTACAATTTTCGGCAAATATTAATTTGCGATGAATGTACCGGTGTGTTGTGGGGAATACGGGAAAACTTTTCATTTTTTTGTAAAATATTTTATCATGTCGGAGGAAATTACGTGAAAAGCAGCCATTTTGATTACGTTGGCTTTCTTGGCCTCGTACTTGTGACGTATTACAAATTTTTCGAATATGTACAGTAATTTTCCAATTGTTTTACTACTGTGCAGTTTAACATTTGATATTTTACTATTAACTGTAGTTCAATTGGTCCTCTGCAAGGTATTTATCTATCATTACTAACTTATCCATACTTACGACGTATTTACTCAGAAAGTTGTTGCTTATCACTTTGTTGTAAAATTAACGTAGTTGATACTTATCTCAGTTCTAACATCAATACTTTATTCGAAATATAATATAATGTTGTTACTATAGTTTTAAATAGACTGGTTGTTAGAAGCAAATCTTCGTGCCAACCCTAGCGTATTCATATTAATGCAGAAAGTAAATACAAATTGAACACCTAACATGCGAAAGAAGAACTCTAATGAACGTTGTAACTAGTTCTCGTCTCTGTATAATTCAATAGGTCACTGTCGTAATATGTGTGATATATTCCAGTGTCATCAACATGGAGCATGCTCAAATTCAGAGCTCAGATGGTGCGCAAGTGGTGACAATTAATGGACAGCAGCTACAGGTGATCCAGATGAGTAATGGACCACACATGATACAAGGACCGAATGGACAGCAGATTGTAGTACATGCCATACCAAGTTCAGCGCCTACTATACAGGTATGTTATGTCTCAATGTATTACCTGAGTGGTTAGATTTATTTCATTATGCAGGAAATGTGGAAAAAGATGTATGTTTGGGTTGAATAACCGGATGAAAAGGTACTGAGAAAAATGTTAGTAAGGCTTTCGTTTATTTCTGTTGTGAGTTTGGGTGTGATTGTGGTTGTCTATGGCACCCGTGACATGGTGTCTCTAGTGCAGGGCAATAAATGTGTGCCTTAATATAAAAAAAAAATCAACAAATATCTATTAACAAAGAACAAAGTTCTGGAGCTTTTCCTCATTCTTTGTAAGGGATTTTTTATTACCAATGGATTAATTTATTTATAGCATTTATTCAATTTGAGCAAGTGTAGTGTTATATTATTTACTTTTATATGAAACAAAGTGATTTTAAATTGCCTTGATGAAGTGAAAACTTACAATGGGGTGCATTAGCGTTTTATAATATTATTGTTACCTAAAGATATAATTAAACGATATCTTTCTATTTGTTTGTGCTAGCAGATTGGAACACCACAAATCCAGGTAGTAGTATCAAACTTAAATGACTTATTTAAATAGAATTGTGTCACTTGTCAAATTTCTAAATAATCTATTATCATATAAATTCTTATTAGTTATTATAATTATTATTGTTATATTAATTTGTTAAATTTTTATTAGGTAGAGTTATTTATACTTAGCTTTTTCTAAGATGGAGTTACATGATGTTTGTAGGGTTGCCATTATTTGTTAAATTTATAATTGCCATTTGTAGTTGTTGTCAGACAGTTTTATCGAAAGATTGTGGAAGGAGGTAAAATTTGATGACCAATAATGAATATGAAAATAATTCATGTTTCATTAAAGCTTTCATTTTTATTTTGACAGATCCCCATATTTCCTTTTTTTATCATGGTGTGTAGCACACAAGCGCAGTCACACTCCTCCATGATGATGATAATTTATTTATAGTTTTTTCATTTTATTTATACACTCCCGGACACATAATTCGAGCCACCTCGCATTTTTATCCTTGAAAGGCTAGAATCACTCATCCATAGAACAAAAACCTATGTGCAAGATGCTGCTTATTCTCGGGACATTGTACATTTCGTTTGTTGTTTTTGACTGCTGATATCCACAGTAAAGATCGACTTTTGTTCGATTTTATATTTCCGAAACGAAATAATAAATACATAAAAAAAATCTGAAAACACCTTTATAACAGGCCTTTTGAATAACGAGATGATGTTTTAACCTCTTTTCGCTGTATAATATATAAAAATGTGTATAATAAATAAAGTTTTCTCCGGTTATTTAAATTCAAATTTTCAATAACAAGTTCAGAAAGTGATGTTTAGTATATCAGTTTCAAAGTTGCATGATAGCATTTTTGAGCAATCAAATGGCAATCAAGCATTGTTTATGCTTAGCATTTAATATTCAAAATGTGTAATTTCATCCTTCTTGGAAAAAACATAGAGATAACTTATTGCCTTACCTTACATTGCCTTGGTGTCAAATGTCATACTTTGTGGTAAGGTTTATTATAATAAATAAGGAAATAATCATTGAATTGTTACATTAGGTAATATTATATTGTGATCATAGTGAATCATAGTCATAATAGTTTAATAGATCTAATGAATCCTTTCGGCGCTTTAAGGCCACAACACTTCTCAAATTGACCACTTCTTGGAATGACCATTTTATTTTTTAATTATAAATTGGTTTTTTACTATTTTTAGATCCTTTCGCCAATTGAGGACCACGCCCAGACATTTATCTCAACTAAAAATGAAAATACCTTTTTGAAATGTTTTATTTGCCTTTTTTTGTCTAATGGTTGCGAAATCCAGTTGCGATGGACGGAGGGACGTTACCCTCTAGGGCGATAGTAAACAATATGTAATTTAAAGGTCCAATGTCAAACTTGTGGTAATATTCCTAATCCGAAGCCGAAACATATTGAATTGTAAAAGTGGTCAATGCAAGAAGTAACCATTTCAAGAAGTGTTCTTTTGTAGAAGTAGCATTTAAAGAAATGGTAATTTCAAGCAGTGGTCATTTGTTGAAGTGGTTATTTGAAGATGTTGTAATTTCTCATTGTGGTCCTAAACCGCCGAAAGGTAACGAATAATAGACAATACTAATATTTAGTTTTTCAATTATTGAAATGTTTCAAAGTAGTAAGAAGTTTTTTGTACTGACAGGTTGCGACTCCAAATGGTCAACAGTTACAACAATTACAAGTGGTTCCAATATCTAGTATTCAAGGTAAGTGTACACACAGGAATCTATATGACAAATAATAGTTTCCATTTTAAATTATGAAAAGGGTATATTGTTTCACTTTCATATGTTAATTCTGTGGCTCTAGTGAAAAGGGGTACAACATTTAACGCTTAATATCATATTAAGCTTTAACTGTTTTTCGCGTCTCCTTGTAAAGTTGGCGATTTTGACTAGTACCCCTATTCACTACAGCTACAGGACTTGTTTCCTTGAGAAGTTGGCGCTGGATGCGGAGGTCGCGGGCTCGATTCCCGGTAGAACCAATTTGAGAAATTAAGTTTTCTGGTTCTGGGATATCGACTGTGAACTAGAAATCGGTACTATCTCAATTTTGACAACTTTACAGGATGACGCAAAAACTTGTTTGCCTAATTTATATAGCATCTGGTTTATTAAATAAAAATAGTTATTACACATTCATGTACGTACACTACGTATTTTTATTTAATAATTAAAAATAATTTTCTTCATCCTGTAAAGTTGTCAAAATCGAGATAGTACCGGTTGCCAGTTCACTGTCGATATGCCCTACAGTGAATTCCATTACTCTGGTACTCAGTCATACAGGGAATTCCTAAGTTTAAGACCAGGCAATTGGAATGGTTGTATGGCACGTTCATTATTATTATTAAAAGTCACTATTTGTCACTGCATAGACATTCAACAATGGTTGAAAGATTTATTTAATGGCTTGTTCAGACTGAGACCAGTATTTGGTCTGCTATATTCCATTTTATATCATGTCTATCTTCTTAATCTCAAAGTTTTGATGGTCTGTGTTAGTGATGCAACGAACCTCTGCTTCGCTTCCGCAACTGTGGAAGTTAAACAAATCACATGCTTCCGTTTCTACTTCCGCAACTTTTATAACGAAAGTTTTATCGGATGTTTATGATATTCGCGATGGATCAGGCATACGCGCACGCGTTATGCTGGGCGGTGGGGATCTTAGCAGTTTTGTCTTAAGCGTGTAATTATGATATCAAACACAAGCCCTGTTTGGATTTATTTCTTTGAGATCTTTATGGTATTTACACTTCCGCATCCGACGTCTTCTTGCATACCGTGCCAGACGCTATACCAACTAAGCCACGTTGAAAGACCAAGTACAAAGACACGACGCAAGCACATAGAAAAAT